TTAGGAGGCTACCACTGGTTCCTACCACCACTGTCTCCATGCAGCAGCAGCTGGGCCCAAGGGCCAGCTGCCCTCTTGGCTTTACGGGTCTGTTTCTGCTCTCCTGACACCCCAACTGTGCAATCCTTGAGGTTTCCCTGACACCTCCTTGCCCAAGAAATGAGTCCTTGGGATTCCACCTCTTCTGTGTGGGAGCCCCCAGTTGTTGTCTGATAGGTAAAGAATGAGATTCAACAATAGACTGAGCCCTGGAAATCCATAAAATGGATGGAGATGGGTGTTTACCACCACTACCCAGTATATAGTACTGTGCAGCAAGTTTGTATGATGAAAGTTCTTGTTGTACACCTGCCAGGGTATTTACCACTCTTTGTATAGAGCAGTTTCTTGGGGCAACAGAATGAGTCTTGGAAGCAGGGCTCTGCTGGGTCTCTAGGGAGCTAAGAGCCTCAGACTAAGATAGGATGGGTAGGGTTTTGTTTCTTGATATACTTCTTTGAACTAGTTTATTATTCCACAGGTCCCTTCATCTTCCCCTAGCCCTTAACTTAAATTCCCCCAGATAAATAGGTTCATGAAGAGTGTTATATAGTCCTGAATCATGTTGAGACTTAAGAGATGGCAAATTAATCYCACCCCTCTTTCCCTTGGGTATCACTGATCCACTTCACAGTGTGTTCTGCTAACCCATAGTATATTCTTAATTCACTGAATATGCCCCAGCAACAATGTAAGTAAGTCTTTGCCATCCTTGGCTGAGATCTGCTCTCCTGTGGAGAAGTGTTTTCCCAAGGTCTTTTCCTTCCCTTCTTTGAAGTCCCTGTGTTTGGTGTGTTCCATGCCTCTGCTGGCCCCAATAAGGCCTCCCTTCCCCGGCCCCTGTGCCAGGCTGAGGTGTAGAACTGCCAACTCCACAGAGGGTGTGCTAGGTTACAGAGGTGACGAGAGGAGTCAGAGCTGCCTTCCCCCTTGGAGAAAGTGGAAAGGCCTACAATGGCCTACATAATTGCCTGCCTCACTTTAGCTACCTCTTAAAGCCCATGGGGGGTTAGGTCTGTTGGATCCCAGTGTGATGGGATGGGAGGCTACAGTGTGTAGGTGGCCCCAGCTGGACTCCTCCAGGTCAGGGCCAGGTGGAACCTTGGCTCTCAGCTCCACACATTTCTAGGCACCCAAATCAATCTGTAGATGGGGATTTCTTTTTCTTCCTCTACATTGACCAAATCTTACCAATCACTACAGCTGCTCTGCTCACTCTGCTTTCCAAAGTCAGCCTGGGTGCCACTCTAACTGGCCAGGAGTCTGGGCCAGATGTGGGGGAGGTGGCCTGTCCATGAGTGAGGGCCAGTGCCTTCCTCACCCAGGTGAGTCCCATGCACATAACCTCAGTTTTAGGACCAAGAGCTGTGTTGGTTTCTTAGATTGTTAGTTTTCCCTCCAGGGGACCACAGTAGGTGAGGCTTAGAGCCTAGCAGTTGGCTGTGCGAACATGTGTAACTCATGTTCAGGACCTTGTCCAGCTGAGAGCTTCATGCACACCAGATTTTGAGAGGTGTCAGCAGCACTTTTTGTTTGTTTGTTTGTTTTCCATGAGATTTTTGGACCACGGGCTGAGCTCAGGCACTTTGTGTACGAATGTTATTTCTGTAAAGACGGTTATTTAAGCCTCCTCCATTCCCACCATGTTGGCCCTACCAAGGACTGACTGAGAGGCCAATGGAGCTGCCCTGTGCGGGGACGCTGAAGCCTGCTGAACTGCTACTCCAGCCCTCACCTTGCACAGCACAGGGTTGATCACTTGGGACAGCCAGGCATTTGCCCGCTCCTCTCACTCTGCCTAGGGAGGGAGCTGCCTGTGTTCCTGTAACTGCTTTCCTTATGGTCCATCCTGGCCACCCAGACTTGTCTGAAGTTGTGCTGACAGCTTTTGGGGGAGCGGGGGGAGTTAATCTCCTTTTGGTATTCAACCAACAGCCAGGGACTTGATATTGATGTATTTTAAACCACATTAAATAAAGAGTCTGTTGCCTTACTTATTCCTCTCTTGCCTTGTGGTCATTTGATGTTTTTGGATACATCTGGTCCCTGCCATCATCACTGATGTCTGGATCTACTGCAAAGTGGCTATGGCTATGCCTAGCATCCTTTACCTTCTAGTGTTTCCTCCTGCCTTTTGGCAGTCACCACAGACTCAGGACACTGACATTTACTTAAGCTGCCTTTGCCCTTGGCAAAGTTAGCATGTGAGATGATTTTTTTTCACTCGAAAAATGTCCCTGAGGGCTGGGGATGTGGCTCAAGCGGTAGCGCACTCGCCTGGCATGCATTCACCCAGGTTCGATCCTCAGCACCACATACCAACAAAGATGTTGTGTCCGCTGAGAATTAAAAAATAAATATTAAAAAATTCTCTCTCCTCTCACTCTCTTAAAAAAAAAAAAAAATGTCCCTGAGCCAGGCACAGTGGTGCATAAATGTTAATCCCAGCAGCTTTGGGAGCCTGAGGCAGGAGGATCACAAATTGAGACCAGCCTCAGCAACTTAGTGAGACCCAGTTGTTTGTTTTTTTTTTTTTTTTTTTTTCCAAAGGCTGGGGATGTGACTCAGTGGTTAAACACCCCTGGGTCTAAAAAAAAAAAAAAAAAAAAAAATTGTCCCTGGCGTCTGGGGGCTCACAGACTAAAGAAGGGAAAAGGTCCTTTTAGGTATGGAAAGGCCAGAGGTACTATATGGGAGCAGAGAGGAGGCCCTTGCCCCCTTTGGCAAGGGAGAGGGGTGGATATCTAGAAGGACCTTCTGACCTGAATGGCAGGCAAATGATTGACAACTTCATGTAGTAATTAGGCAATTAACCTGGAAGTCCAGGTGAACTTATTAGAGGGTAAGGGAAATGAGGCTAGGGGCTCAAGCTTGTGCACCAGGCTAAGGAATTTAGGTCAAATCTAAAGGGCAGGGAAGAACCACTGAATGTTCAAAGTGGAAACCAGCACATATATACTTGTAATCCCGATGATTCCAGAGGCTGAGGCAGGAGGATTGCAAGTTCAAGGCCAGCCTGGGCAATTTAGCAAGACTCAGCCTGAAAAAAATAAAAAGGCTTAGTGATAAAGTACCCCTGAGTTTAGTCCCCAGTAATGTGTAGGGTCCATGAGTGAAGCAAAAGGCAGGGCAGCATCCCTAGCAGTGGCCTACCCAAGAGGATGTAAAAGAACCACCAGATTCCTTTTGATTTTTAAGCATTCCTTGACAAGACTATATTTTCCATTATTGTTTTCCTTGTACTGGGGATTGAACCCTGGGGCACATTACCACTGAATTATGTCCCCAGCCCTTTTTTTTTTAAGTTGTTGATAGACCTTTATTTTGTTTATTTATATGTGGTGCTGAGAATCAAACCCAGTGCCTCACACATGCTAGGCAAACGCTACATCCTCAGCCCCCCAGCTCTTTTTAAAATTTTCAGACTAGGTTTAAGTTGTCCAGGCTAGCCTCAGACTTTTGGTCCTTTTGTCTCAGTCTCCTGAGTTATAGATTATAGGCATATGCTACCATGCCCCAGCTCATTCAGCTGATTTCTTAACCCCTGTTTATTCTCTGGGAATGAAGCTTGAGACATCCTACTGATGGCCTCATCCAAAATCCTATTACTTCAGGGACCTGGGTTAGTTATGTACAAAAAGTGGTACATGGTACGTGATGTAGGCCCAACAAATGGCAGAAGCAACTCAAGGGCCTTTGCTTTGCACTTATGCAAGTAAACCACCCACTGGCTGTGACAGTCCAAGCCAGAGGAACAGAGCCTCTTTCCCTTCTAGCCAAGGTCTTGATAAGTGTTCTGTGCTGGCCACATTGGTTCCAAAGATCTCTGGAAGGGATGAGGGAATGCTGCTGCAAAGCATCTCTGCTATTAATTGAGGCTTCTGAGGGTGGGAACTGCAGGGGAGCTCCTGTACCCTCTACACTTTCCTGGAGTAGCCCTAGCACCACTCTTGGCAGCTCTGGTAAGGGAGGAAAAGGACTTCCTGTTGTCCTCTTTCCCTCTGACTCCCAATTATTGAAAATTTCCTGAAGTAATGTCTCCCTTTCTAGAGTAGTCTTCAGAGTGCATATATCTGGGAATGAGCCTTCCACAGGTGCCTGCAGAAGCAGGGCCTCTCTCTTTAACTCAGCCAGATGCCTGGCCCAGGGCAGCTGCTCTTGCCCAGTGTGAAGGGGAAGTGGACATGGTGGCTGTGTGCACTGCCTTGGGCCAGTTGATTTGAGCCTGCTGGGCAGCCTGACAAGAATGAGCCTCTCCCATGTGGCATCAGATGCTGCCCTGAGGACCCGAGCCAGGATCCTCTGCCAGGACTTTAAATAGCTGCCCCATTGATGCAGGCTCCTCCAGGTGCTCAGGTTTCCTTCTGAGCGTTGAAGTCAGATGCCAGGGAATGGAGTGGGCTTCTCTCCGACCTGGGGCTCCCCACACATATCTCCTAAGGCTGAGGGATGAGGAGGGGACCTGGCACTTGTCGATGCCAGAATATAGCCCCACTGCTCAACACCCAGCAGGATCTGGGTGTGGTGGGGAGAGTGCTATTGCCCTGGAAATGACTAGTGTTTACTTTCCCTACAATGGACAGTGGCAATGATAGCGCAGGGTTGTTAGGAGTATTGAGTAGACAGAAAATGCTTCAAGATTCTTGGATACTAACACGTTCTCCCTCTTCCAAGCCCTCCCTGCCTCCTCTTTACTTTCCATCCCCTTCCCCCTTTCCTGACAAAGCCACCACCATTTTGTAAGAGACTGTACCTTCCCTCCAAAACTGACAGAAAAGTATTTATTAAACCGTTATCGCACGATCAACAGGGTCGCCTTAATTCGGGCAGGAGGTCAGGTGAGTGAGAGAATTGAGCTCAGTCAATTTGGGGACGCTCCTCCCAACTTGCTCCAACCCAAGCCCGAGAAGGTCACTTTCTCTTTAAATGCAAATCACTCCCGCCAGCTTAGCTCCCACCCGCTGGCGTTCCCGGGAGGAGCGCGCGGAGGGCGCCGGGCACCGGCCCTCGAGCATCGCTCGGGACCCCAAGCCTCCAGGTCGGTCGCCTTCGAGGAGGTGCGGGCGTGCAGGGCGGGCGCCGCAGGCTGCAGCTGCGTTGGGGGCTGGCTTCGGAGGCCGAGCGTGGGAAAAGGAGCCGGGGTTGCCCCGGCCGCTCCCGGGTACGGGAGCTCCAGCTTCCAACCTCTCCTGTCCCTCAAGGGGTCACCCCGCTGCTGCAAGAGGCGGACCCTGCGCCGGTCTTCCCTCCACCACGCCCAGACCCATTTGGCACCCGCCAGCCTCACTGGTGTGACCTCGCCTCACCGCCCMAGAGAGAGGAGTCAGGCGGGTGGCAGCAGCGTGGAGGGAGGCCGCYGCCAGAGGACCCCTAGAGCGGAGGCTCTGGTGGTGGCCGGACTCCGCGGCTGAGCGGTGCCGGCCACTCGCGCGGCCATTGTTGGAGGCCCAGGCTGCCYGCTGCCTGACCACCCACCACAGGGACTTGGAGAAGGAGGAGCAGCTGGAAGCGGTCCCTGGGAACTTCTGGAGTCCCTGGCACTCGAGGTTGGGTGCGGGGTGGAAGAGGAGGGATGCCAGTGTAAAGCGGGAGCACAGCGAGCCCCGCCCCGTGGGCCCGGACTTCTGCCCATACCCATCCAGGGTCACTGCTGCTTGACACTAACTAGGGCCTTCCCAGGTGTCTCCGCCCCCACCCTGGTCACCTCTCAGGCCTACCGGGTTAGTCAGCACCTGATGAAGCAGCTGATAAACAGAATGGGGCCCAGCTAGGACACTCCTAGTCTTTAGCTGTACTCCTGCCATCTCACGTCCACCCTGTCTCCCTACGTTTCCTCTCCAGCCCCACCCTTTTAGCCAGAGGGACAGGAAACTCCAACAGCACAGGGTAGCTTCCTGGTTTAGCCCCTTCAGACAGGGCCCAGGCAGAAAGGGGTCTTATGGGCCTTGGAAGGTCCTTAAAATGCACATCCAGGATCCCAGCAACAGGCAGTGGCACCTGACCCTGCACAGACAAGGGAACAAAGACTCTGACATTTGTGAGAAAACAAGTTGGAAGGTTCCAGGGCCCTTCCTTTGCACCTCTCAGGGGTTGCTGGGTGAAGGGATGACTTTGACCCTCAGAATCTCAATGAGGTTGCTTCCTTCCCAGGCCTGAGGCTTACCAGCACCCAATGGATGACAAAAAGAAGAAAAGGAGTCCCAAGCCCTGCCTGACCCAGGCAGCCCAGGCCCCAGGCACACTAYGCAGGGTCCCTGTGCCAACTAGCCACAGTGGCTCTTTGGCCCTGGGACTCCCTCATCTACCATCCCCCAAGCAGCGGGCCAAGTTCAAGAGGTGGGTACAGAAGGGATGCAGGGCAAGGAAGAAGGACTCTCAACTCTGGTTTGAGCCCTGTGGGGGAGGAAGGCAAAGGGGGCCATCAGCCTTTAGCCACTAAGGAATAATGGGTGCCTTCCTTGGGGCTGGCTCCCGCTGACCCCTGAGCACTCAGAGATGAATTAGATCCAGTACCTATCCTCAAGTGCATATGGCAAAAAGGCCACATGGATAACTGAGATCACATATTATGAGGCTATACTTCTTGGGAGGGAGGGAGCAACCTGCCAGAGAGTCAAAGGAAGTTGCTGGATACACTGAAGAGGGAAGAATATTCTAGCTGAAAGCTTGCTTGGCCTAAAAATGAGAGAAAGATATTGCCATAGACTGGGAATTTAGCTCAGTGGTAGAGTGCTTGCCTAAGCATATACAAGAGCCTGGGTTCTATTCCCAGTGTTTGTGGGTGGGGGAGATTGCCTAGAAGGTTCCAAGAACCACAGGTTCTTTGGGGGCCATGGAGTGTCAGGGAACAAGAAATGGTGAGGGGATACCAGGGTGCCCAATTTGAATTCTCTGCTGAATTTTTAAAAATGATTGGGAATTTGTTTCCTACCTTATAAAGTATCCATGTTTGTTCGCTCCAAATACAATGTGTTCTTTCTCCAAATGTTCAAATCAAAATCACGGTGTTCCCCTGTGGCTTTGCATATCTCCTGCTCCAGAGGCATGTTTGGGAACAGCTACAGTGGGCTATAGCTGAAGCTCAGGACTGGACTGAGAATAATAGGAAATGTAGCCTTGAGAGGAAGGAAGGCCATGTCGGCAAGGCATTCAGTGTTATCCTAAGGAAACAAAAAATTCAAAACAGTTTGTAGCCAGGAATGGTGGTGTGCGTCTGTAATCCCAGTGGCTCCAGAGGTTGAAGCAGGAGGATCGCAAATTCAAAGCCAGCCTTAGCAACTTAATGAGGTCCTAAGCAACTTAGAGAGATCCTGTCTCAAAATAAAAAATAAAAAGGGGCTGGGGATATGGCTCAGTGGTTAAGCACCTCTGAGTTTAATCCCTTGTACTAAAAAAATAAATAAAATAAAAATTTAAAAAAAAAAAACAGTTTATAGAAGAGGGCAGAAGAAGTGGGGGTGGGGGGTAAGACAGTCTGGTGGCAATAAAGGAAAAGTTATACCCAAAATTATTGAAAGCCAAAGGGAACAAGTAACACATTCAGAATCACAGGAGACAGGAGGGTAACTGAAGCTCTCCAACAGAAATCCAGGAGTCCCTTGCAGGCATGGCTCTGGCTATGTCATTGGTAGAAAGACTTCTTTTTTGACCTCTTACCTTCTCCCTCCTCACTTATTCCCTTTCTTCTATCCATCCCAGTGTCCAGGCAGGGCCAGAACAAAAAACTTCTATTTGTGTTGATGAATGAATGGGCAGATGATTTAGATAGATGGCACAGAAGATCCAGGAGTGCCTGGCTGTCCCCCATTCATGGTCATGTACACTCCATACAGAGTAGGCAAGGAGAAATGCCGCCCAGTACTGGCTGGAGGTGGGGGCGGCTCTGCAGGCACGCCCTTGCAGCACTCCTTCCTGACCGAGGTGACTGATGTCTATGAGATGGAGGGGGGTCTGCTGAATCTGCTCAATGATTTCCACTCCGGCAGGCTGCAAGCCTTCGGTGAGTCCTGGAGGCTGTGCAGAGAGGGGCTGTGGGTGGGRAGGGTGGTCCTGGTCTCCGTGGTGGGGCTGGAACAAGGTCCCAGGCTTACTGTCAGGGTTCCTGAGAATGAGGATTGCTCCCATTCAGGGAAGGAATGCTCCTTCGAGCAATTGGAACATGTTCGAGAGATGCAGGAGAAGCTGGCCCGGCTGCACTTCAGCCTGGATGTGTGTGGGGAAGAGGAGGATGAGGAAGAGGAAGAGGACGGAGTCACGGAGGGGTTGCCTGAGGAGCAGAAGAAGACCATGGCAGACCGCAACCTGGACCAGCTGCTTAGCAATGTGAGTTGGGCACCTTGGATCCTGGGGACATCAAGGGTGGGGAAGATACCTGCTCCCAAGGTCCCTGGTGAAAAGATGGGGGTGCATGAATCCAACAGCAATAAGCCCCTCAGTTTCTATTAGATAAGGGTCCCCAGAGCATTCAGACTTTGTTCTAGTCCCATTCCTTATAGAAACCTTCTTTTCTCTATTGACAGCTGGAAGATCTTAGTAATTCTATGTATCCTTTCTAAGACTCCACAGTGTACATGTCTTGCAGATGAGGAAGGGATGAGATGAGGTCAGGTTCCTCCCCCTCACCTCCCTCCCTGACTGTGCACACATAACCAAATATCCCCACCCCTTTGCAGTCCTACTGAATCAGAATTAGCCACAAACAGCCCCTACCTGGGGGCAATGTAAAAAGAATTTCCCAACCCAAATATTAGGAGAAAGGTGAATGCAGGGATTATTTTTTTACCCGATCAAAATCTTTGCAAGTACTTCAGCTGACACCAATGATGGCAAAGTGTGTCTGATGTCCTCCTGCCCTTTCGATATAGAACAATGTATTAATTTAGACTAATCCTCATTTAGCTCTACAGAATGTGCATGTGTCCACATGAAGGCAGACCCACACATACACACACACACACCCCACGGGTCCTCCGGTTCTTCTGACCTGCATGATCTGGAAGAGAAGAGAAAGAGATAAGTGACCTAGCAAGATGGGTAGGAGGATGGGCTGCAAGGATAGCTCAGGATAGATCACATGTTTGGCATGCATGAGCTCCTGGATTCAGTCCCCAGCACCATTCAGAAAAAGAAGGGCAGGTGGGGACTGAAACCTCAGACCATGGACAGCCCTTTGCACGGATGGGGAAAATAGACCCGTAGGGGATGTTTAGACTGATGAGAGGAATGACTGAAGTCCAAAGCATCACAATCCTTGACTGGCACAGACAGAAACTGCACCTGGCAGAGAATGCTGARCCTGAGGAGCAGTCAGCTGCATAGGTGTAGTACCCAGGCCCACACTGCCTCTTTCATTCTCTTCAAACTGTGACTTCCCTTCGTGGTGGTGCACGCCTATAATTCCAGCTACATGAGAGACTGAGGCAGGAGGATCTCAAGTTCAAGACCAGCCTGTTACATTTAGACCCTGGCTCAAAATTAAATTTTTAATAAAGGAATGGGGGTGTAGGTCAGTGGCAGAGCGCTCGCCTAGCATGTGCAAGGCCCTAGGTTTCAGCCCCAGGACCAGAAAAAAAAAAAATGACTCTGGTGTTTCGCAGCTCCCCAGGTGCTATGAAGTTGGGGACACTGGATGGAATTAAACCAAAAATAAAAAGTAAAAAAGTGGCTCCGTGTCTTCCTTCCCCTCCTTGCACCTTTCTTCTCAGAATAAAACAATCCTGCACAGCACAGAGGGCTTGGAGTCCCCGCCCGGGCGGGAATTGGGATGAAGCTAGTGGCTTCAAGAGAATGGAAGGCCAGCCGGAGCGCTTGGCAGCCAGACTAAAGCAGGCTAGGTGAAGGTTGCCTTGGAGGCAGCGGGGCGGGGCCTCCATGCCTTAAACTGCGCATGCTCAGGAGCCTGCTGCCAGAGGACGCACTGCGCAAGCGCTCGGCAGGGGACGTTAGCTTCCTGATGGAGACCGAATTGTTACTTCGGAAGGTGTCGACCTTGCAGGTTCGGGGCAGAGGGGTGGTCGGGGTTGCACCTAGGGTCTCCTACTTTCAGTAGGGTGAGGCTGTCATGGTCAGTCCCTACCCAACCTCTGGAGATGCCATCCCACCTCTGCAACTCCCGAAGAATGCGGAGATCCACGGACTTCTCTAAGCCCGCACCCTTGACCCTCACGAGCATGTGGGTCAGGGGAAGTTCCGGAAGCGTCTAAAAGCGAGGAGAGTAAAGCCCAGCATACTCCCTTGAATTCCTGGAGCCCCAGCGCCCAATGTCACCTGTCCTTTCCCGGTGGCCATGTCCATTTTTGCAGTCCCCRGGATAACCTCTCCAGAGAATACCCCAAGATATGTTCCCTCTTTAATGTATCAAGGACTTTTAAGCAAAATATATTAGCAAAATTAAAAAATAAAGTGCCAAGGGTGTTCTAACTCTCGTTCTCCACACCAGGCCTGTGTCAGGGGCTTCTTGGTTCGACGCCAGTTCCAGAGCCTGCGGGCTGAGTATGAGGCAATTGTACAAGAGATAGAAGGCGACTTGGGCACGCTTCAGTGGACTGCCGGCAGAATTCCCAGGCCTCTGTTTCTCCCAGAGGTAGTACACATCCCAGGGGGAGAAGGGAGAGTAAGGAAGACCTGGCAGGGAATTCAAAGGAGTGATAGAACCTACTCTTCCAGYTGACAGGCCTCTACCTTTGGAAGATACAGCAGACTGCTCCTCACACCCCATTCCTTAATTAACTTGTCAGCTAGATCATGGTGCCAGGGGTTTAGCCCTGGGACTATCATACCTTTCTGGTTTCGCAGAAGGCAAAATCTCAACGCTCCTGGAAAGCAGGAAAGAGGATACCAAGTCCAGAGAAGAAACTATGCAGCCACTTTCCATATAAAGAGTCTGTGAAAGAGGCCCTCTGGGAGGAGATGGTGCTGAAGAAGTCAGGAGAGAGTTCAACAAACCCAGGAAGACTTCCCTGCAGAGATGACAACCTCTGGCTTCAGGTTGAGCAGAGCAAGAAATCCAGCCAAGAGGAAACAGATACATCAAGGATGAAGAACTCAGGTACCTCTCTGTCTAGATCAGGAAAAGTCCCTGATCCTCTCAGGGCCTTAGCCTCCCAGTCTAAAAAGTAAAAGGGATGTGCCAGATTAGCTGCAACCCTTTTCTCCCTCCCTCCCCTGCCTAGTTGAAGGAAACACATGAGCARTGAGGGGTTGCCAGGTCTGGGGCTAAACCAGCTTCCAGTGTCTATAGCTCAATGCATTCTCCTTCCTGTCTTGCCTCCTTCAAAGAAGCCACAGGTCCAGGACCATCCCATAGCCAGCACGAGATCCAAGAGCTCCAATATCACCGCAGCCATTTGGCCATGGAACTGCTGTGGATACAACAGGCCATCAACAGTCGMAAGGAGGTAGGCACTAACTTTTGGAATAGGTGAAGGGTTAGGAGTTAGAGCCTGTATAAGCAGGCCCACACGTTACAGTATTTGTTCTCTCCCAACAGTACCTAATTCTCAAACAAACACTGAGATCCCCAGAAGCAGGCCAGACCACAGATGAGCCCAGCATGTGCACAGACCATGGGGGACTGGCCTGTGAGAAAGCCTGGTCACAACCAAACCCACTGCTGAAGGACCAGTTCTGCAGAGAGAGGACTGCTGGAGAGCTGGACCATGCAGATGATTCCTGCCAAAAAGGCAAATCACAACTCCTTAAGTACCCAGAAAGTCTGGCCACTGTAGACAAAATCACTGCTGGGGCTAAGGGCAGGGAATTGTGCTATAGGAGGGTTGGACCACAGCTGCCTACGCCATCAGACAGCCAGGCTGGAAGRGACAGGTTCGCCAAAGAACAAAACCATGAAGGACAGACCTTTAAAGGGGCCTGCCTACAGCAGACAAAATTCCTAGAGGACCAGATCCTGAGGGGCCTCAAACCTAGGAGCCCCTGTTCTGGGAAGGCCAGAAGACAGCTGCCCGCATTGTGAGGACCCAGATATTGAGGACAAGTCTCCCAGAGACCAAACCACAAAAAAAACCTGACTACCAAACAGCAGGCCACAAGATATGACCTCTCCAAGGACCACACACATCATTTATGATGGGACCATGGCAGGACCAAAGCATGGTGCCCTATATTTCAGGAGGATTCAAATGTTGAAGGGCCAGGGCCCCATGGCAGAAGTTCCATGGTTGGAACCTCCAATAAGCCTAGTCATGAAAGCTGGAAAAGCTAGAGGACTGTACTGTGGAGCTCAAGGACACCTGAGACCCTATCTTCCACAGGATTAGACCAGAAAGGAGAGACCAGTGGAGGGACAGGCTACGGAAAGCAGGACCACCAAGCTAGATCCTGAGGAGCTAGCAGAGGAACAGGTTCCAAAGAGGTTTGCTATRACAAGGCTGTGGTGAAGACAGGCCTTCATCTGCCTCCCCTGCCCTTGTCCCCAGCCATCAATGGCTAGTGGGGCCAACGGAGATTGGAGCAGAGACCAGAGGCATAGTGCAGAGGGCAAAGGACACCTTTTCATCCTCAGCTTTTGGCTCAATCCAAATTTCAGGTTAAGGATTAGTTATATGGGGAAAGACAAGTGGGAGGCCTGGAAGAGAATAAAAATTTTTCTTGGATTTTGAGCCTGGCTGCTTTCATCCCTCCTGTTCACTTCCTGTCATCATGGGGTGAGTGTCAATCCCAGAGCCAGCTGGGAGCCTCAGCCCAGGGGCAGATCTGAGGGCAGATCTTCCTTGGGGAATAGTTCCCAACCTGATCCTCACTTGAGCTCAACTGTTAGGCTTCAGAATGGAAAAGGCTCTGGAAAGTACTAGAACACTGTATTTAAGTAGGATCTCTGCTGTCCTCTCTTACTGAGCCCCAGGGTCTTTTTTTCATACAGTGATCATACCTGTCCTATYCTTGTGAGGCCCTATCAGTGAGATTGGCTGAGATTGTGAATGCAGAAAAATGCCCCTACCAGAGGCTCTCCCTGAAAGGGCAGGACTCCACCTCTCATTGGCATGGCTCTAGCCCTGCCTTAGTTGCCTGGCAACAGTTCTGTGTCTCTTGACAGAGGACACACTATGGCAGGTGGAAGTTCAGGAGCCAAGAGGATAGTGGTATACCGAAATGGGGATCCCCACTCCCCAGGCCGCCAGCTGGTGGTGWCCCAACGCCGTTTCCCCACCATGGAGGCCTTCTTTTATGAGGTGACATCAGCCGTGCAGGCCCCACTAGCTGTGCGTGCTCTCTATACACCTTTTCATGGCCACCCTGTCACCGACCTGGCAGAACTGCAAAATGGAGGGCAGTATGTGGCTGCTGGCTTCGAAAGATTTCGCAAGCTTCAGTAAGTAGGCTGAGCCTGRTCAAAGAGCCTCGGAGAGAGGCAGTAGCAGGAACAATAGTGAGTCTGGTATGTAGTTACCAGCTTTATRTATTTTGCTACTTAAACAGGGAGGGGAGAAATAGTGAACACCTGCCTAAGTACGTGAGCAACAAGTGGTTGAGCTATAGTTTAGATTGGATTTGTCTGGTACTGGGGCCCATGCCCACCACAATCAGGACCATGGGAAGGAGACTATTCTGCAGTTTGAACTTTTTGTAAAAGATCTTGATTAGATCCCCTCCCACCACCATCACCACTACTTTAAATCTGATGACACTTCCTCTCTCCCTGCTATGTATCCCAACCTTTCAGGTAGGCTAGGATCATCCCTCTCTGGAGGGTGGGCCACCTTCCAAGGTGGGAAAAGAATTTTAAGTAATCTGACTTTCCAGTCCAGATCTGCCTTCCACATCCTACTCTGAGCTCTTAGCTGAGGTTGCTTACTACAATGAAGAGAACAAGGGTTTGGGAGCTAGACAGAGTCTTAGTCACTTCCTATGTAACCTTGGGTAAGTCACTTAGCTTCTCTTGAATCTTATACAAAATGTAGATTAAGCCATCTACTTCATGAATGTAAAAATTCCTGAGATATAGTAGGATATTTAATGTMCTCTTTTCTCTCAATCTTTAACGCTATTGCCAATAATCCTAGTCTGAATTTCCAGCCTGACTTGGCATTTAAAGAATTCTAAGGTAGGTTCAAGTACCAGCATCTGTTTCTGGCCTGAGTACACTGAGAAATTGTCCTTGTGGGGAGAGGTACCTGGCGAGGTGTGCCCCAGCCCATGCTCTGGCAGTTACTTGGTTGTTGAAGCACCAGACTCCCCAAGGTGACCTTCATCCAATGTCTTTTCAGCTATTTACCCCCTGGAGGGAAGCATCCAGGTGGGAAGAGCAGCAGACTACAAGTGAGTACTGGGGAAGGCTGTCCCCCAGCCCCTCTGCCCTCCCAGCCCTCCTAGGTGGATTTGGGATTGCTCCAAATTGCTCTGGGAAGTCAGAGACCCTGGAAGCAGCAAGAGCTGCAGGTTCCTTGGGGGACACTCTCCACTCCCACTCTGGAGCTTGCTGCTCTCCTTGGGGTATGGAATTTCAAGACACTATCCCCTGGTCCTGTGTGGTTCCCAAAGGAAAGAGGAAACTGTGAAATACACATGGGGGTAGGGGATGGTTAGAGTGACTTAGGGGATCTAAAAGCACCCTTTAGTGAAAGGGCCCCCTCTTTGCCTCCTTCCCTGTAGGAGTCTGGTTCCTTCCAGCTCACTACACTTTTCTTGGGCTGACTCATCCCTAACCAAATACCTCTCTCCTGATTTGGGGATCTGACTTGGGTTTCAGGATCCTCTCRTGACTGGCCACCCGTGTGACTGGGCCCTTGGACAGTGGCTGCCTGCAGGCATCCCCTTCTATATCCAGTGAGTCCAGCATCAGAGAGCAGGGGTATAGATAAAATGGGTGTGTTTGTTCTAGGAGCTTTTGATTACCAGTGGGAAAAATAAAAGGTCCAACATGCCAGGTGTGGTAATCCCAGTAGTTTGGGAAGCCATGGCAGGAGATCATTAGTTTAAAGCCAGGCCCTAAGCAAGTCATCTGTCTCTAAATAAAATACAAAAAAGGGCTGGGGATGCTGCCCCATGGTTAAGCACCCCGGGTCAATCCTGGATACAAAAAAAAAAAAAAAATGTCCAACATGTTTGATGGGTGGAATTGGATCAGTACAGTGGTTCTCAAACCATCTTCTGGCACCTGTGCCATCCTTCTCACATGAAGGGAGTCCCAGGTYCCTCCCTCTCACCAGGTGGTTCTTTGTCTCAGTGTGTTTAGGAATGGGGATCTGCTAAGTCCTCCATTCAATCTGAAGGTGTCCCAGGCTGCCATTCAGGACTGGGAAACTATGTTGAAGCTCCTGACTGACAAGGCCAAATTACAGAATGGGGATGTGCATAAGTGAGTATGGGGCCTGGGGAAACCCAAAAGTCTCCAGAGAGTCTCCTTACTGAGTTCAGCTGTTCCTGAGGATGAAACGGCAAAAGGAGAATGTTCCCTCCAGCAGGACTTCCTCCTGTGCCATAAGAAGTGGTCTCTYTGGCCCAGCCCTCAGAACCAAGGCAGAGCCTAGGTCTGAGAGCCAGAGGCCAGAGGGTACCTGCCCCCTCACTGCCTGCTGACTGTGAAGAGGCAATCTGTCTGTAGGTCCTTATCCTGCTCACCTCTCCCCCAGACTCTGCACCCTGGAGGGGTTCACACTGTCATCGGTGGAGGCTCTGGTGAATGGCCATTACTATGTGGCTGTTGGAGAGGATGAATTCAAGGCCCTTCCCTATCTGGAGCTGCTGGTGCCCAGTCCCTCCCTGCCCAGGGGCTGCTGGTATGTATATGGTTGCAGCAGAGAAAGGTGCCCTCTGGTGAGCGTGCTGACTCCATGTCCTCTGCCCACACAAGCCTTTCCTTCTTTCATTGTAGGTATCCTCCAGGCCTGAAGTATAGACCYCACAGGCAGAGGGTAGGTGATCCACAGGGCATGGGGGTGGGAATGAAGTAGAGAACTCTGATAAATTTGAACTCTGACCTTATTTCACTGCATCCTTTCAATAATCTTGTGAAATAGATTATCACCATTTTCCAGAGGTGGAAACTGAAGTTCATAGGAGTAAAATGATTTGTTCAGGGTGACACAGTTATTGAGTAGCACAGGCCAGACCAGAACTGATCTTCAAGGTGAAGTTGTAGACCTAATGCCTTCTTCTTTTTTTTTTTTTTACCATACGAATTATTTTTATTTATTTTTTTAGTCATACATGACAGAATGTATTTTGACATATAATACATACATGGAATGTACATACATCAATCATATTGTCTATTCTATTCTGCTGCCCTTCCTATCCTCCCTACTCCTYCCCTCCTCTCCCATCCTTTCTCTCTATCCAATCTAATGTGACACACTTTTTTTTTTCTCCTCACAACATCATATACGTATTCTGTATAACAATGAGGTTCTCCTTCCATCTTCCGTGCAACTCCCCTTCTCCCTCTTTTTCCCTCCCACCTCTCTTCCCTATTTAGTGGTAGTCTTCTTCTCATGCTCTTCCTCTCTATCCCATTTTGAGTCATCCCCCTTATATCAGAGAAGACATTCGGCATTTGTTTTTTAGGGGTTAACTTCACTTAGCATAATATGCTCTAATGCCATCCATTTGCCTGCAAATGCCATGATCTTGTTATTCTTTAGTGCTGAGTAATATTCCATTGTGTATAAATGCCACATTTTTTTAATCCATTCATCTGTTGAAGGGCCTGATGCCTTCTTGATAGGTTGGATGCTGGGAGATAGAACTGGCATTCTCTGCATAGCAGTGCCCCGGGAACCTCAGCTCCCCATCCTATTACAGGTCTGAGCCCTCCAAAGATATGAGCCAATGAGCATGAAGTCCAAGTATAGTTTGGTTTCACTGGGTATCTTCGAGTGCCAGGCACCAGCTGCTCCATCCCTGGATAGGCAATCTGGTGGGAAGAAGGGGCAGGAAGGGAGGATGCAGACTGTGAAGGTAGATGGCACTGCCTCTCCCAAGCTCCCACAGGCCTCATGGCATGCTGAAGCCTAGACTGGGGAATAAGAAAGGTGAGACAAGCCAGAAACCAGGGTCTGAGCCCAGTGTTCTTTCTGTAGGACCAGAGCCTCAGGACACAGGTCACTCTTCCCTTTCCAAAAGAACCAGCACAAATTGAACCATCTGTTTTCTATGCCAGACCCCAGCAAAACATTCAGCCAAGAAGCAAGCTCCCCACTCTCTTGTTTCCATCAGGTGAGGGGCCTCTGTGGACCAAGCCTTTCTCAGCCAATCACCCCTCTTTTKTTCCCGTGCTGGGGACTGATGTTGTGGTTTTGGTTTTGGTAATGGGGATTGAACCCAGGGGTGCTTAACTACTGAGCAATAACCGAGCTCTTTTATTATTTTTATTTTTTGAGACAGGCCCCTGGGCCTACAGTTGCTTAGGGCCTCTCTAAGTTGCTGAGGCTGGCCTTGAACTTGCAATCTTCCTTCCTCAGCCTCTAGAGTTGCTAGGATTACAGGTGTGTGCCAGCCACTGTGCCCAGCCAGTGCTGGGGATTGAAACCCATTCCATGGGTCTTAAGCATTCTAGGCAGACACTTTACGTAGCCACCCTTTGACAGTGACACAGGATGGTACCTGCTATTGTTGGGGATATCTGTTGGGGCAGAATGCCCAGGTATAGAGCTGGCTCTGACCTCAGCATAATTGTCTTCTACTCTCCCATTTGCATGTCCAGTCTCTTGCTTTTTCTTAGGGACTTATCATATGAAAAGAAGCACATGGAAAGGGCAATGTTTATCTCAAAATGATTCAGGGGTGGGCTTTACAAGGACTAGGGCTGGGATTAAAAGCCTGCCTCTCAACTTCCCTGCCATCCTCTGAATAGTGGGGAATGCGGAGCAAGCAGGGGAGGGGAAAGAATATAGAGGTCAAGGGAAAGAAGGCCAAGGACTCTGCAGTCTGGGCATCAGTCAATTTTACCTCCCTCATTAGGAGTTAAGGGAATATACARGGATCCTCACCCAAGGAGGGAGACAACAGGGGCCCAAGACATAGCAGACAATGAAGACACCTGGACAGAGCAGCCCTTGGACCAGGTAAACTCCAGGATCAGAAAGCCATACTTGGAGATGGGAGTTTAGAGCTAGAAACTGGCAGTTCTGAGTCCAGGAACAGGTCCTCCCTTTGTGACTATAAGATCTTCTAACATCCTAAAGCTTGACTTTCTACCTCATTAAACAAAGAAGCTGGGCAAGGTGGCACATGCCTGTAATCCCAGCAGCTCAAGAGGCTAAGGCAGRAGGATCGGAAGTTCAAAGCCAGCCTTATCAACTTAGCAAGGCCCAAGCAACTCAGCAAGACCATTTCCAAATAAAATTCAAAAAAGGGCTGGGAATGTGGCTTAGTGGTTGAGTGTCCCTGGGTTCAAGCCCCAGTACCAAAAATAAAAAAATAAAAAGTTGTTCTTTTTTTGTTTTTGCTACCTGGAATTGAACCCAGGGGTGCTTAACCACTGAGCCACATCCCCAACCCTTTTTAATTTTTGATTTGGAGACAGGTTCTTACTAAGCTTGAGGCTGCCTTTGAATTGGGAATCCTCCTGCCTCAGCCTCCAGTCTGCAGGGATTACAGGCTTGTGCCACCATGCCTRGCTGGAGTTCTTAATTTCTAGTCTTTTCTGGGGAGGGGGGGTTTCCTGCAGGGGGCTAGAGGCTGGACACATGCATGACTCCATTCTGTACTTATCATCATTTCCTCCAGAGAGCAGCATAAACAGTGGAGGAGGCCRTGTCCTTGGAACACAAGTCTGGAGCTAGACTGCATCCTCAGCCTTAGCCATTGCACCATCTTGAGAGCCAAAGCTCTAAAGAGAAACAGGRAGACAGCAGTTGGGTAGACACCTTTTGTCTTCAGCCTGTTCCTGAGAATCAACGTCTCCCCTGTGCTTATAGGGATGTGRTTTCCTCAACCCCTTCCCATTCTTCTTCTAAGCCTATAGCCCAGTCTTCTTTCTCCTCAGCAGAGCAGCCCTAGCTGTGGAGGCTGTTTTCTTATGGGATTCTCTGTCCAGAGAAAGGAGTAGCTGATTGAGCTTGGCAAGTGACCACAAATGTGAGARTAGATTTGTCACAATAAAAGAATACTTAACTAACCTGTTTAGCACAGATTTATTGAAGGCTGCTACTGGCCAGGTATTGTACTGGATACTACAGTTAGGTGATGCTGGGGCTCAGTTGTCTACCTGTCTTGAGAGGGGCTGGCAGGTGAGCATTTCTGCCCACCTCATGGGTGGGAAAGGCAAGGCTAACGGAGTTCATACGTCCTATATCTACATTCTGATGCACCCTCTTCTCCTCAGTTGCTCCCCTAAGTCACCAAGGCACTGAGCACTGGAGGTATCTCAGTCACATTTCTGGCTTCGAGACTGCAACACAGCAGCTGGTCTTTTCCATGTAGCTGGGCCTCTGCAGTCCATGTATTCTGCCACCATGATGGTCCAGAGCAGGCCAGGGTAACAGTGGTTGGGTAATAATGACCTGAGATTTTAGCAGAAGAGCTGTTGAGGCAGAGAGCTGCTAAGGGTGAGTGTGAAGTGTCCCGTGCGAAATCCCAACAGCTGAACACCACTTGAAGATTACAAAATCCTTTTACTGCTGTTMTCTTACTGTGATCCACGAGGTAGCTATTATCCCCATAAGAGATGAGGAAACTGAGGCTCAGAGAGGGCAAGTTCTTGGTCCATCTGCTCATTGCCTGCACCTTGGCCCAGGGGTTTCCTGRAGACAGCAGAGCTGGAAGCTGGGGTTGGTCGACTCAAAAAGTAGATGGTGGCCTCTGGGTCTTGTTCACTGAGCTTGTGATACAAAGTGCAATTCCTGTCATGGTGAACACCATGCCAGCGACTGCTCCTAGGATARTGGCAGAAATCAAGGGGCTCTGAGCCTAGCATGCTAGCAAGAAGGAGCAGGTACAGGGCTGGGGAAAGGGTTCATATGGGGCCCAGTCCCAACTGCCACCCCCAGCCTCTTGTCTCCAGATTGCTTAGGGTTAGGAAACAACTGATGGCCACAAGGAAACAGGAGAGTTGCGAAGAAAAGGCATGATGGGAGAAAGCCCTCCTCTCTAACCCATGGGAGACGGACTGGGAAAGAACTGACCCAGGTACATCAAGGCCCAAGCAGCTGCTTCCTACATTCCCAATAGCGTGACTTACCTTTTCCACCAATATCTTCTCCAAGGACCTTCCCAACAATCAGCGTGAAGACAATGGCCAGAGAGTTACAGATAGGCACAGCTAGAGTCAGATCTGGGTAGTCAAAATGAGAAGTGCTGAGATGCAAAATGTCTTATCACATTAGGGGAAAAAARGGGGGGGGATGGGGGAGCAAGGAGCTTAGTGCAATGGAAGAAGACCAAGGGTGTTGAGGGAGGCAGACCTTGGTACTCAGTATAATCTAGGTTATATATTTAAACCCTCTGAGCCTATTTTCCCACATGTAAAACAGTGATAGCAAGATACCACTGTTGGTATTTTTTTGCAGATATTGTAAGATAAACTATGATAATAGTCACTACTGTTTTGATTATTAGAATAGGTGGATATTAAAGGATGGATACAGAGTAGGTGATAAGATAATAAAATTCTAAAATTATAATTTGCTCAAAACTTGGTGAACTGCATGCCAGGTGACATAAGGTTCAACATTGTTTTGCAGCAATGAATACATCGGGCCAGAGGCTTAAATAGTCTTATGAGCAGCTATTCCTAAATGTAAAATAGATCAAAGTGGAGTGACAAGTTGAAACCGTGTGGCAGGAAAGTGGCTATCTTGTCCCTCATCTTCCCATGGCCCTTGAGGGGTTCCCTAGAACTAATTGGGGCCTAAACTTTCCTGGAATCCCTGGAGGGTCTTGACTCCAGGGGAGGAAAACCACAGAAGTAAAATTCAAAAGCATAAATTTTAATATGTAGCTTCAAATCCTTTTGCACTATCATGCTGTGAGACTAAGAGGGGTGAAGTAAATTGTCCAAAGTTTTGTAATATTCTATATGATGACAATCATGTCTGCTTCACAGGGTGATGATGGGACTTAAATGAAATATGCAACATCAGTAAAGTATCTGATGCAGTAGAGGGCAGTCAACAAATGTTGGGAAAAAGGAAATTTGTATTTATTGTACCAGGCACTCTGCTATGTTTCTCATATATCAAATTTATAATCTTCACAATGCTAGGAATCCAGCTGTAAAACACCAAGGTTCAAATAAGGGACTTGTTCTAGGTCAGGCAGGTAGCACTCACTAGAAGCAAGAGGGACATAGTCAGCATTTGGCACAACAAAATGAACTTTCCATCTTCCTCTGCTATTGCACAAGACTGCCAGGCTCCAGATCCACCTCGTGCCTGGCCATATCTCAACCAGTCCACTGTGCCTCTGCCCTCAGAGGAGGCTACCAAGAAGGGAACAGTAATATGCTCTCCCTCGCTGAAGGGGAACAAGGTGTTTCAGGTTCCCTCCCCAAAACAACTTTCCCAGGTGGCCTCAACCACTAAGCAGAGCAGCCGGACACTAGAGACCCACCTGTTGATGCCAGGGTGAAGTAGTAGAGAAGGGAGCCACACTGGTTGAGGAGAAAGGGCACCAGGTACTGGAAATAGGAGAAAACTGACGTCAGTGTAATTGCCAAACTGAGTAGCACTGCCTTCTTTGAGCTTCTAGAAATATCCAAGGAACACTAAGCACTCTGAGAAGGACCCAGGGCAAAGACAGAAATAAACTGAACTACACATCTTTGCTCTTAAATGCCCTTTTCTTTAGCTTGACTACTTCCTATCCGGTATATATATATATATATATATATATATATATATTTTTTTTTTTTTTTTTTTTTTTTTTTTTTTTTAAGAGAGAGAGAGAGAGAGAGAGAGAGAGAGAGAGAGAGAGAATTTTAATATTTATTTTTTAGTTATCGGTGGACACAACATCTTTGTTTGTATGTGGTGCTGAGGATCGAACCTGGGCTGCACGCATGCCAGGCGAGCGCGCTACCTCTTGAGCCATATCCCCAGCCCCTATTTTCTATTATATTTAGAGACAGAGTCTCACTGAGCCTCACTTTTGCTGAGGCTGGCTTTGAACTTGTGATCCTCCTGCCTCAGCCTCCTGAGCTGCTGGGATTACAGGCGTGAGCCAACATACCGGCTCCATTCTGTAAGGTCTTTAGTGCCAATATTACCCCCTTCAGAAAGCCTACCATAAGTCTCCCATCTGCAGTCTCCCTCCTCTGAACTTATGCAACGCTTTTATCTGTATCCCTCTCCTGGCCCTTAACCCTGAGAAGTGGTGGTGTCCATGTTTTCTTTCCCAGTAGCCTTGACTAGCAGACTTGGGGTCAGAAGTAGTTTCCCATATCCCTTTTTGTCTTCCACCCCAAGGGCCAATTTGAGCCCCAAGCTCTCCCTCTGGAAAGACTTGCAAGTTCTTCATATAATTGGAGAGAACACAATAATAAAATACTAACAGCATCCATGGATGGAACACTTTTGATGTACTAGGTCCAATGCTAAGTGTGTCTTACTTCAATCCTCATAACTGTCCTATGATTATCATAATTTCCATTTTACAGATGACAAAACTGAGGCTCACAGAGGACAAGTGACTCCTCCAAGAGCTGCTTGGGAGTGATGGGTTTGGGATTCTCACCCAGACCTATTTGACTCCAGAGACCAAATATTTAGCGGCCACTCTTCCGTGAGAGGGGCTGTACAGAGACGCACCTCAAAATTCAAGAAAAGGGTCTTCATCTCCTGCAGCAACTGCCGGACCCAGGTCCGCTCATGAACCTGCTGAAGGCCGGCGGAGGCCCGCTTCAGCAGCGGCTGCGTGCCACCCCACAGAGCGGCCACGAGCACCAGAGCCAGCACCTGCCCTAAATACAGATGGACGGAGAGTCACCCTGACCGCCAGCCCCACAGGCCGCCCGCTGGGCCTCGCCCTCCTCTAGGCTCCCAGCCCCAGATAGCCTTCCGCACCGCTCTTTGGCTCTCCGACGCCCCGGGCTGCGCTCGACGGGGAGGACAGGCCTTGGGAGGCGGGGGAGATGGACTCAGGAGCCCTAGGACTGGAGTCGTAGCAGGGGCCGGGGTTCRGGGTGGAGGGGAGTAGGAGATGAACTGCGGGTGGGGATCAGAAAGTGCGTTGACGGGCGGAGCCCACTACCCACCCAGAGACGCCGCCATGGGCAACGCCGCTCTCATCTACTTCCGGGAGCGAGGGGGGTGGAGACGAGAGAACGGAAGTGGTTCCAAGCCTCTTCCGGTCCTTATCACTCCTCGTTCTCGTCGCTTCACCGCCGAGATGGTGAGTTCCGTAGAGTTGGGGGTGTTGTGGTGGGGGTCCCGGGCCCGGAAGAGGTCCGGTTCMGGGCGCTGACACTCTTGTCCTGTCCCTACAGAAGCCGATCCTGCTGCAGGGCCATGAGCGGTCCATTACGCAGATTAAGTATAACCGCGAGGGAGACCTCCTCTTCACCGTGGCCAAGGACCCTGTGAGAGCCGGCGTCCSGGCGGGCGGGACAGGCGGAGGGGTCCCCCCAAGGGCGAGTTCCTTCTGCCCGGACCCTGGGTGGACGATCCAGTTTTACTGCCAGACGGGAACCTAAGAATGTCCCATTCTAAAAAGTAGGGAGATGCCATCCCGGGGTAGGTTGATGAGGGCATTCTATCTAGGAAGGTAGGAAGGAATTCGACTCTTGGTAGAGATGAATAACTGGGGAGAAGAAAAACAAGAGACCACTGTGGGTGGGGAACAGGGACAAGGATCAACTTGATAGAACAAGTCACGTCCAGTAGGACAAAGAATCATGGAATGTATCTCAGTGGTAGAATTAGTGCTTAGCATAACAAGGCCCTGGCTTCARTCCCCAGGATCGAAGAAGAAGAAATTTTAAAAAGACACGGGTCTTAATGAAGATGCCCCTAGTCTCAGTCCAGTCAGTCCTATCTGCTACTCAGTGTACAATCTCACAGTACTGCCTTTTGAGGCATCTACATATAGAGGCAGTTAATATTATCACTTACATATAAGTTCCTCCCCTTTAAAGAAGGCATTATTGTTCTGACTATTTTAAAGATGGAGAAGCTGAAGTTAAGAGGGATGAAGCATCTTATTTGAGATCATACCATGAGATAGTGACCGAGCAGGCACTGGAATCTAGACTTCCCTACTACAAATTCCTCCCACTTGGACAGATCACCAGAGCTACTGTTTATTTGGACTGGAGTACAACCTAATCTTTTATTCTTATAAGAGATTCTGAATTCAGGAGAGGACAGGCCCAGCAAATAAGGATGCTTTTGCAAATTTGACTCCCCTGCTATTTACATTCGGATAGGAAGGAGAATYTAGGAATTTTACCACTTTCTTGCCCAAGAAATCAGCAGGCTAGAGATTGAGGAGGGTTCCTGGGGCAAAATAGGCGGCCATTGCTACTCCTGGGGTGTGAACCATCCTGTCATTTGGCTCCTCCAGATTGTCAATGTATGGTACTCTGTGAACGGGGAGAGACTGGGCACCTACATGGGCCATACTGGTGCTGTGTGGTGTGTAGATGCTGACTGTATCCTTGTTTTACTCTGAGGCTGTGCTCCAGGCTCTGCCAGCAGAAGAGTTGCTGAGTTGAAGGTGGGAGTTGGGATGCTGGTGTGGGTCTGTAGAATAATACCTCCTACTCCCAGTCTCTTCACTGGTTGGGGAAACATTCAGGACAAGTTCCACTTCTGGATGAGGAGGTTAGAGTGCCCTGAGGAAGAAAGGCTCTTTGGGACTGAACTGGGAGATGATTCGGTTGGCTTCCCAAGGGCTCTGGTAAACTCAGTCAAGTTTCTTAACATCCTCTTCAGGGGACACCAAACATGTCCTCACTGGCTCAGCTGACAACAGCTGTCGTCTCTGGGACTGTGAAACAGGTAAGCTTCAGTCATTTACTCTTTCAGCAAAAATTGACCACCTTTAGTGTACCTCTGTAAGTAAACAGAGATTCTAGGAGAATGCAAAATAAATCTAGAGATGGTTCCTAATCTAGAGAATAAGACAATAAGAAAGGTAGAGGAGCAAGAAGTATTACAGCAATGTAATAAGCCATGAGAGAGGAAACAAACTACTGTGGAAGGCCAAGGGGAGCAGCTGACTTCCTAGAGCAAGGGTGGGAGCAGCCCTGCAAGGTCTCCCAAGGTAAGTGACATGTGAGCTGGGGCTTAAAGGAAGAAAAAGACAACATCACTTTGGCACCTGCAGGAATGAAAGCATGGAGACTGTTGTGTCATTTGATCTGGTTGATGTCCTGTTTTGGGGGAGTGGAATAGATAGGCAGGAGAGAAGATGAGGCTAGAGAAGCAGGTTAGGCCAAAAGAGTCCTTGGGTGCCAAATTCAGGAGTTTAGCTTGGGAGGAATTTGGCCTGCTGYGGAGGCCATTGCAGGGAAGAGTGGCAGTCTGGTTAGTTTTAGCAGGGTCCTGGGGCAGTGGGAAAGCTGACCCTGAAGATAGAGGAGCATATTCAACTCATTCATATTTAAGTTATCCAAGCCAGATAGGTAAGAGCTGGGCCCAGGGCTGGGGTTGCGGTGAAGGGTCCAGCTTCAGTATATGTATATACTGGCATCTAGTTCTATGCTGGGCACTAGGGACATCCAGAGAATCAGACCAGGTCCATTCTGTGGAGTAGCAAAGTTTGTGGGGGAGACAGATAGACTATAAACCATTATGAGCAGTGCCACCTTAGCAGGGTATGTAAGGAAAAAGTGTAAAGATTTGAACAAAAGCACAGCAGTGAAGAAGAGAGCAGTAAGCTAGGGTCACCAGAGCAGGAGCAACAGTGAGGCGTGATGACAGGCAGGCAGATGATAGACAGTCCTCCCTGCAGTGATAATGGACAGGTTGTAGCCCAGACCCTGCCTCTCTCTCCAGGGAAGCAGCTGGCCCTACTCAAGACCAACTCAGCCGTCCGCACCTGTGGTTTTGACTTTGGGGGCAACATCATCATGTTCTCCACGGACAAGCAGATGGGCTATCAGTGCTTTGTGAGCTTCTTTGACCTGCGGGATCCAAGCCAGATTGGTGAGGGCTGGGGCTCAGCTGGGGGCCTGGGTTGGTTGGAGGTGAAAGGCCAGCTCCTGAGGCTGGAGCTGGACATCTGCTGCCCCCTACAGACAACAATGAGCCCTACATGAAGATCCCTTGCAATGACTCCAAGATCACCAGTGCAGTTTGGGGACCTCTGGGAGAGTGCATCATTGCAGGCCATGAAAGTGGAGAGCTCAACCAGTATAGTGCCAAGGTAAGAGGTCAAGTGGAGCCTGAGCCCACCAGAATGATTTCTTACAAGAGGAGGTCAGGCTAGGGATATGGCTCAGTTGGTAGAGTGCTTGCCTTGCACGCACAAGACCCTGGGTTCAATCCCCAGCACCGCCCCCCCCCAAAAAAAAAAAAAAAAAGAGGAGGTTAGCACAATGATTAAGAGCAAGGGCTGGATACAGATATAGAATTCATCACTTTCTAGTTGGGTGGTCTTGGGCAATTTATATAATTTCCCTGAGTCTGTTTATCTTAAATATCTCAAGGATCAAATTACATCAGGTTTTGAAAAAGTTGTCAGAGTACTCAGGACATGTTAATAATGATGACAAATAAGTATTTTCCTGTCGCCACAGAGCTAGGCCCTATGCTAGGCTCCTAGGCAAAGAAGTGAGTCAGTCATTGTCTCTACTCCAGGRGGACAGAAACTTGCAATCATCTGGCATATGAGTTAGATCGAATTGGCCATCATAAAGGTTTCAATCAAGTATGGAAGGTGTACTGTGTCACAGAGGAGGTGGCACATACACTACCTTGTGAAGAATAAGAGGAACTTCAAACAGGAAGCATAGACTATTCCAAAGACAAAAGAAGTGGCAAAAACAAAGGCCCAGAGTTAAGGAGGTACATGGATTCTTAGGGAATCACTGGTGTAGGAGAACTGGACAGGGCCTATATTTTTAAGGTCCATTGTGTCTAGAGGTAAGGAGTTGATTTTCCTCTAGGCAGTAGGGAATCTTTAAAGGGTTATTGATATTTGATACAGTGCTTTATGTCTATCATCCCAGTGATTCAGGGTGCTGAGGTAGGAGGATCCCAAATTCACGGCCAACTTGGGCAATGTAGTGAGACCTCTCCAAAAAGAGTAAAACTCCAAAAAGTAACGAGCTAGTTGTAGTTCAGGGGTAGAGTGACCTGGATTCAATCCCCTGTACCAAAAAAAAAAAAAAAAAAAAACCTGTAGCAGCAGTTAGACATTGCTTTACACACCTGTAATCCCAGCAGTTTGGGAGACTGAGGCAGAAGGACTGCAAGTTTGAGGCCAGTCTTAGCAACTTAGTGAGACCCTATTACAAAAAGGTCTGGGGACATAGCTCAGTGGTTCAATCCCTGGTATAGAAAGAAAGATTTAGGGGTAACTGATTAGGTTGAGGGAATGAATAAAGGGGAAAGTCCAGGTTGTATTGGTTTCTGAGTAATAGTGGGCTAGTAAGAATCAGAGCTGGTCAGTCTCATAGTTCCTCCTTCCTCAGTCCGGAGATGTATTGGTGAATGTTAAGGAGCACTCCCGGCAGATCAATGATATCCAGTTATCCAGGGACATGACCATGTTTGTCACGGCATCCAAAGACAACACAGCCAAGGTAAGCCTGGGCAAGAGATCTGGTAGGACTTTACCCATCCTTTGGCTACCCCCAAGAAGGACTTTTTATATATTTCTCCTTGCCTTGTCTCTCCAGCTCTTTGACTCTACAACCCTTGAACATCAGAAGACTTTCCGGACAGAACGTCCTGTCAATTCAGCTGCCTTGTCTCCCAACTATGACCATGTAAGGGAACCCCCACTCAGGCCAAGTCTCAGAAAGCTTCTTGGATCAGGATGTTTGTTTGGCAAGTAGGCTACAAATATGGTGTCAAGCAGAGAGGAGGARCAGTAATAAAGCTGAACATCTGAGTAGCCACAGGGGACTGGGCAGCTGAAGGGTCTATTTATCCCTGCCCTTGGCATCTCCCTGTTGTGATATGAGAGAGGTTAAGAACTTACAGGACAGGAGAAAGAAAAAATAGACCCATCTGCCCTTTTGGCCCATGTGGACTTTCTTCTTCCCTTTAGGTGGTGCTGGGTGGTGGTCAGGAAGCCATGGATGTAACCACAACTTCCACCAGGATTGGCAAGTTTGAGGCCAGGTAAAGGGGAGGGGCCTTCTTCCAAATGGAAACCATGTGTAGTATTTTTTGTTTTGTTTTTGTTTTAATGTTTATTTTTTAGGTGTAGTTGGACACAATGCCTTTATTTTATTTACTTATTTTTATGTGGTGCTGGATCGAACCCAGGGCCTTGCACCTGCAGCCTCAGTGACTTAGTGAGGCTCCAAGCAACTTGTCTCTAAATAAAAAAGTAAAAAGGGTTGGTGATATAACTCAGTGATTAAGTGCCCCTGCGTTCAATTCCTAGTACCAAAAATAAATAAATAAATCATGAATTTGACAGACATACCATTATGCATACCATTATATTTCTCTGTGCCCATGCTTTTTTTTTTTTTTAACCAGGGATTGAATCTAGTAGCACTTCAGAGCCCATCCCCAGCCCTTTTTTTTTTTTTTTTTTTTTTTCTTTTGAGATAGGGTTTCGCTAAGTTGCTTAGGGCCTTGCTAAGTTGCTGAAGCTGGCTTTGAACTTGTGATCCTCCTGCCTCAGCCTCCCATGCTTTTGGGATTATAAGCCTGCAGGCTGGTCTCCAGCTTGCAATGCTCCTACCTCAGCCTCCCAAGTCTCTGGGATTGCAACGCTGTACCCAGCTATGCTTTTTGGCCATATAATGGGACAGTAATAATATATTTCTTGAAATTTTGCTGATTAAATAAATGAGCCAATATTTGTTACAGCATTGTCCAGCAATAATAAGCACTCATTAAGTTTTAGCTATGTTCAGGCAGACATTTGGGTCCCTTCTTCCCCTGACTTCATCTTACTTTGTTTATTCATTTTCACTTACTGTAATCTCCCTGCTTTATTAACTTTTTTTATAAAGTTTGTATTTTGGGGAATGCTACCTTAGATGGGTTTTGGAAAGAGATGAAGAATGAATTAATGGAATCTCTCCTTTCCCCTTTCTTTCCTCCAGGTTCTTCCATTTGGCCTTTGAAGAAGAGTTTGGAAGAGTCAAGGGCCACTTTGGACCTATCAACAGTGTTGCCTTCCATCCTGATGGCAAGAGGTAGGGCCTCAGTGAAGGGAGTGAACTTAGCCTGGGTTGGGTCTCCACCCACTTTCCATGCCAGGCCCCACAGGCCTGCCTCTGCCACAGCCATTTGACTGGACTTTGCCCATCTTTTTCCAGCTATAGCAGCGGTGGTGAAGATGGATATGTCCGCATCCACTACTTCGACCCACAGTATTTCGAATTTGAGTTTGAAGCTTAAGAAGCTGGATCTTCATCCAGGCCAGGGAGGCTGCTTACAGAAAGTTTTGGACTCTGAGAAATAAATTAGTTTGGTAATAAATAGTTTCTGTTTAGACATTTTGTGGGGTCTGTCTCATCATTTTCCCTCCTCACTAATACCTCAGCAAACTGATGCCAATCATGAACACCTTTATTATTTAGGCCTTTTCCCTATACTTCAGACACTTGCAAATTAAGACTTCAGTATTCTGGGCTGGCCTAGGTTGTAGGCATGCTCATCCAAAGTCAGAGGTCCTGGGGGGCCTGGAAAGGTTTCAGGGACACTTCACCACTATTCAAGAAGTCATCACTTAGGTTAGGGGCTCAAGTAGAAGCTGTGGGCTGAGAGCCTTCTGTCTTCTCCCTTTCTGTCACTATTTGCCACACCTTCTCCCATGCTACTTCTGAAGACTCAGGTGGGCGGGTCCAGCGCAGAAATAGGCCTGAGGAAGAGGAAGACAGGTAAGGAAGCTGAAAAGAGAAGCTAACTACCCAGGGGAGGGGAGCAGTCACCTTGCCATAGCCGCAGGCTCTGGGGCTCCACAGAAGGCCAAATGGCCAAGGGATTGAGCACATAGAGTGGGTTCCGGAGTTTTCGTTGTTCCTTTAGCTGGTTGAGCCCAGACCACAGGGAGTGTGTTCGAGTCCTCACTTCACAGAGGCATCTGTAGAGAATGAGAGAGTGAGTTCCAGCTGTGCCCTCTGGGATTCTGGGGGTACAACCCTGGTTAGTATGGTGACAGTTACTCTGGGGCAGTGATTTACCTCACCTTTTTCTGCAAATTATTTTGATAGATCTATTGGACTCTAGAATAAAACAGGAACAAGACAAAACCCTATGGAGTTCTGTTTAGAGGGAGAAACCAATTTAGTTTTGCCTAATTAGGGAAGGCTAATTAAAAATATGTTACTTGAGGGCCTGGGGCTGTAGCTCAGTGGCAGAGCGATTACCTATAGCACATGTGAGGCACTGGTTTGATCCTCAGCACCCCATATAATAAACAAAGATATTGTGTGTCCATCTACAAGTGTGCTACTTTGAGCTGAATATCACTAGAAGACTAGAAGTTCACATCTACAAAGACATGCTATGTATGGTTTGGGTYTGGAATTTCCCTTAAAGGCCTATATGCTGAAGTTCTAGGTTCCCACCTTAATGTTCTTGGGAGGTGACAGAAACTAAGAAGTGGGGCCTAGTGGGAAGTCTTCAGGTCATTGTGGGCATGTCTTTGAAGGTTATAGTGGGACCCGAGCCCCTTTGTTCTTTACTGAGTCCTGGCCATGAGATGAGATGAGGTGAGTGGTTTTCCTCTGCCATACACTCAGGACCAAAAGCAACCAGACCAACCAATCATGGACCAAAACCCTGCCAAAACTGAGCCAAAATAAGTTTTATAGATGTCTGTGTGTGTGTGTGTGTGTGTGTGTGTGTGTATATATATATATATATATATACACACACATACAAACATACATGTTATATATATCCAAAACTGAGCCAAAATAAAAGCTTTATATATATATATATGTATATAATTATATCTATAATTTATATATATAATATTTTTTGGTTGTAGATGGACATAATACCTTTATTTTCTTTATTTTTATGTGGTGCTGAGGATTGAACCCAGTGCCTCCTATGTGCTAGGTAAGCACTGTACCACTGAGCCCCAACCCCAACCCAAAACTTATCTAAGTTTTTAATCTCAGGTATTTTTTTTTTTTATTTTTTTGTAGTTGTAGATGGACAGAATGCATTCTTTTTATTTGTTAATTTTTATGTGTGGTGCTGAGGATCGAACCCAGTGCCTCACACATGCTAGGCAAGTGCTTTGCCACTGAGCTACAGCCCCAGCCCATYTCTCAGGTATTTTGTTAAAACTTGGCAGGGGTGCAGAGGGTGCTGCATGAACCAAGGAAGAAGTGGAAAATGAACCAATGAAAATACTTGTAGGTCTAATGAGTTATTTAAAAACTAACGAAAGTGTCAGCTGTGGTGGCAAATGCCTATGATCCCAGCAGCTTAGGAGGCTGAGGCAGGAGGATCAAAAGTTCAAAGCCAGCCTTAGCAAAAGTGAGGCACTAAGTCGTTCAGCCAGACCCTGTCTCTAAATACAATTAAATAAATAAATAAATAAATAAATAAATAAATAAATAAAACAGGGCTGGAGATGTGGCTCAGTGGTCAAGTGTCCCTGAGTTCAATCCCTGGTACCAAAAAAAAAAAAAACCTGATAAAAGTGGAGGCAGGGAAGGCTGCTGAATATTCCAGATGGAAAGAAATGAGTCTGGATAAGGGTAATGGGAAGGACCTCTGGCAAGAAAGAAACAAGCTAAATGTTTAGGAGAAAGGCTAAAGATGAGGGATGGGGAAAGGGAGATAAAGATAACAGTTTCTAACCTGGATGAATCATGAGTGGAGTTAGTAAAACAAGCTAGGATGTGGGTGAAGATGACTAAATATTATCTCCACCTTGAGAAACTCCCTCCTCCCTCTCTCATTGATCAGACAAAGCGCTTATGGAGCTGATTGGGATGCAAGAAGCTGACCAATGATAAAAGTTACCACTTTTGTGTGCCTACTATGTGCCAGGCACTGTGCTAAACACTCCATGCTTCAACTCAGTTAATCCTCACAGCCCCTCTTTGGATTACAGCTACTGTTATCCTCTCTGTGCTACTGATGAGGAAACAAAGATTCAAAGAGGTTTGCTCATGATCACTCAGCAGGTGAGTGGTGGCGCTGGAATTAGAGCCTGAATAATTTAAGTCCACTTTCAACCTCTATTCTAGGGTTCCACTAGAATCTACTTTGCAAAGTTAASAGAGGCCCCAGCAATCATTTATTTCTGCAAAATCATTTTGCTGAGTGCACTGATGCAGGCTTGTAATCCCAGCAACTCAGGGAGCTGATGCAGGAGGATCACAAATTTGAGGCCAGATTCAGCAATTTAGCAAGACTCTGTCTCAAAATAAAAAATAAAAAAAGCTCAGTGGTAAAGCACCCCGCCCCATTCAATCCCCAGTACCAAAACAAAAACACTTTCCCCTTTAGTCCTCATTTTCTTTTCTTTTTTGGGGGTTGTGGGGTTGGCAGGGGATTGAACCTAGGGGCACTGAACCATTGAACCACATTCCCAACCCTTTTTTATTTTGAGACAGGGTCTAGCTAATTTACTTAGGGTCTCACTACATTATGTAAACTGGCTTTGAATTTGTGATCCTCCTGCCTCAGCCTCCTGAGCCGCTGGGATTACAGATGTGTGCCACTGCTCCAGGCCCCTTAATTTCTTTTTTCGATGTATTTTTAATTTATTATTTTAATTTTATTTTTAACTGATACATAAAAACAAAAGTTGTAAATGTTATAGGGTAATGTGATATTTCAATACATGTAAACATTATGTAATATTTTAATCAAGTTAAATATTCGCTGCCTTAAACATTTACCATTTCTTTCTTTCTTTCTTTTTGGTACTGGGGATTGAACCCACAGGTGTTTGACCACTGAGCCAAATCCACAGCCCTTTTAATTTTTCTTTTGAGGGTCTCAATAAGTTGTTTCAGCTAAGTTGCTAAAGCTGGCCTCAAACTTGCAATCCTCCTGCCTCAGCATCCTGAGTCACTGGGATTACAGGCCTGCCTAGCCACTGTCCTGAGCCACTTATCATTTCTTTATGGTGAAAACTTTCAAAATACCTTTTTCCTCTTCCAGCTTTTTTTTTTTTTCCTTGTGTGTACTAGACAAGTACTCTACCACTGAGCTACCTCTCCAGTCCTCTCCTCCTGGCTTTCCTAAATATACAGCTTGTTTTTATTATTGTTATTCATTCTACTGTGCAATAGTACCCCAGAACTTTTTGTTTCTATCTAACTGAAACTTAGTACAGTCCTTATTTYATGGCAGGAGTGCACTTGTTCTTGGCAATAAACAGAATGGGTAGATGTGAAGGTTGGTCTTAGATTCGTCTATCTTTGGGTTTGCAGATGTTAGAGGGAAGTGTGAGATTAGGAGGGAAGAAGGGAAGGCCACAAAGAGTTTTCCTAAAAGAAAAACTCATTGAAAGGGAAAGATGCCCTCTAAGAAAGCAACGGGCATCTGCCCCGACCCACCTTAACACACAATTAGCTCACCTCTCCTTTTCACTGTTGCAGAGGAAGGTGCCAAAAGGGGAGGCATAGGCGTGTTCAAACAGTGCCAACAGCAACCCCTCCCCAAACTCCAGCGACAGCGGGAACTGGCGGCCCAGCTGCCACACGCAGTCCAGGAAGAGGAGAAAGGTGGGTGCCTCGTGCTTGGGGCGGGCGTGGGAGAAGGCCGAGTGGGCACAGCGCAACTGGAAGGGGTGGCCAGCCTGGGGAGGGGGCAGAGCCATGGTCAAGGGAAGCAGGGTTTCTGGAGGGAGGGGCAGGGCTGGGACAGGGTGGCCACCTACCTGGATCCACTCCCGTTCCACCAGTTCCTGGAATCCAGTTATGGTCCGGCTCAAGGGGTCCAAGATGAGTTGGGCCAGTGAAGTCACAAGCAGAGTGCTATCTCTGCCTTCAGCCCCATGTACCAGGATGCAGGCTCCTTCCCTATCATGGGAAGGGCCCATGAACAATGGCAACTTTTTCCCTGCCTAGGGTGGCAAGACCAGGAATAGGCTGTGCCCAGTTCTAGACTGTACTTCCTTATGAATCATGGATTTGAGAGCCCTGCTCATCCCACCATATCCATTCTGTCTCACAGGGTAGGAACTTTACCTTTCCATTCCTTGGGCTGCCAGGCAGGCAGTGCTCAGTGCCTCCTTCACATGTGCCAGCCAGCGGCAGCCCTCTAGCCGACTAAGCCAGCGGTCCATGCTTTGCTCCGGGTCCCCACAAGCCTCTACTAGGCGCACAAAGCTCTCCTGGAGAGCCCGTCCCCTAGGCAAAAGGGAATCTGGTCATCTTTTCCCCAGTCCAAGCTCTGGGTGAGCCCAGATTGGAAGCAAGTGCTTATCCCAATGAGGGAGGGAAATAGAACTTTCTGAGGAGCCCATTTGATAAGAGGGGCATAGAACCCTTTGGGGAGCCCAGTCTCATGGGGTATAAAACCCATGGAAGAGCCCTAATCTCATGAAAATTATGTCATATCTTTGAGAAACCCTCCATCTTATAGGGCAAACTAAGACTCTTAGGGGAGCGCTAGTCTGTTGGAGGGAACCACTGTATCACAATACCCCAGGAAACCCCCAGTTATCCTTGAAGTAACCCAATCTGATGAAAACAACACAGTTCTCCATGGGGAATCCCCATCCAATGAAAGAAACAGTACTTTGCGGATTCTGCACCTGCTCCTTCCTCTAGACACCACTCTGCTCAAGGCCACCAGTGACCCCCCCACACACACACCAGAAAATCTAATGCCATCAGTGGCCCTCTACCAGAAAATTTAACAGATTTTTCTGCCCTCTTCAACATCTTCAGTGGATTCCCACTGGCTTGAGGATAAAGTCTAAATTCATAACCATGGTGTTCAAGTTTTTCATGGTTTTTCTCTAGACCCCATTCTCCCTTTAGCAGCATCTCTCCCACTTCCTACCCTATACTTCTACCACCGTGAAGTTGCTTGCAGCTCCCCAATAGGACAAAYGACCAGGCTCTCTTTGCAGTTCCTTCTCTCTTCAGTTCCCTCTACCTGAAATGACCTTCTCCCTCCTAACTAACTCCTCTGCCTCTTTCAGGTCTCACCAAAAGCATCCTGTTCTCAGGGAAACTTTCAAATTACTAAGACAGGTTGCCTCCTCTTGCTACTACTTATTTCACTGAGTTCTAATTGCCCATTTACTACTGAGCTCTGTCGAGTCTAGGCTGCTCACCATGGCAGCCCCTATGCTCAATGTTGGGTGAATAAATTAATAAGAGTTTTGCATGATGAATAGGGAAGCAGCCTGCTCTCCCCAAAGCAATAGATACATCTATATCTGTGCAGGTACAGCCTTCAGGGAGGACTGTATGTGTGTGTGTGCGTGCGTGCGCAGGTTTTTCCAGGAAGACCAAATTCAACTTAATGTAAAGAGGTGCATTTTCTTTCCAGGCAGAGTTGGGGTACTTAGTGATGAGCTCTCTCATTTGTGGGTGTGAAAGTGGGGATGGCCAGCTGCCAGGATGGCTTCCAGGAAAGGTCTAAGAGTCTTCCAGAGCCCTGGCCCTTTTTCCCCTCCCACACACACACATTCATGAAGGAAATCTAACACCATCAGTGAACCCCACCAGAAATTCTAACAGATTTTTCAGCCCTGTTTAGCGTTTTCAGTGGTTCCTACAGCTTTTAGGATAAAGTCTAAGCTTATAACCATGGTTATGCAACAAAGCATCTTCTTTGGCTAAGCCTGGGAGAAGATGGGAAGCCTCCTACCTCTCCAGGGGTCGGTGCAGTCGTTTCCAGCCAGGGTAGGCTGCCTTGGCCTCTGTGCCCCCTCCAGTCATCCGGGCCTGTTTAGCAGCCTGGGCTGATCGTGTGTCCACTATGAAGCCCCGAGCCCCAGGGTGAGCCCCTGCCAGTACAGCTCGAAGCAAGTCCTCATCCTCAGCGCAGCGCCTCTTCTGGGGACCAGTCAGTGGCTGACTGGAGCGTAGCAGAACCTGTGGACAGGGACCCATCTCAGGTTCAGGAACTGGACTCTGGGCTTGGGGACCTTTTCAGCTAGGCCTACACTCAGGAGCCGCCTACACTAGGAAAAAAAGGCTGACTGTGGCGCTTGTGGCCTTAGGTGCGGAATTCACAAGGCTTCAGATGGGCTCTGCGAAGGTCATGGCTGTCTAAGGCCAGAGGTAGGAGGGTCCCTAGGAGCAGACACCAGATCTGGGTTGACAAAGGAACTGAGCTTCAAGGGGCTGGGGTCAGGACCCGAGAAAGGTGAAATCCAGAAAAGCGGGAGGGGCGGGGCCAGAGTCGGGACCGCAGGATTTCCAGGAGGCGGGGCTTGTTGGAGGCAGAGCGAGGCGGGGCCTGAACGGGGCAGGAGTCCCAGGCAGCAGCCAGACGCTAATTGGCTCCTCCAGGGCGGAAAAGGGCTTTTGGATCTCAGGGCGGAGCCTGGGGAGGGGCTGGCTCACGGTTCCACTGGGTGCGTGGTGGTAGCAGAGCACTGGGAAGCGGCCTCCCTGGCGGAAGCGGGCRCTCCGCGCCAGGGCATCGTCGTCCACCGCTCGAGGCACGATTACCGCACGAGGGTAACTGGGGCACAAACTAAAGTCCTGGTTCACCTCGCTCAGCCGCCACGCGTTGGTCTGCAGCATAGAGAGGGTCGAAGGTTAGGTCTAAGGCACCCAATAAGTGCCCCGCCGGCGTGCCCCTGCTAGACCCGGTGCTTCCTCATCCCCAGGCCCTCATGACCGCGCCCACCTCTCGAGCTACTCGCTTGTAGTAGCATTCGGGTGGATGGAAGTGCCAGGCGTCGCCCAATCTCAGGCCCTTGGGACGGTAGAAGAACGGAAAGGAGGTGATGACCGATTCCAGAGAGGACAGCGCCTGGGGACGAACGTCAGGGGCTGTAGGATTTATCTCAATTGAGTACATTCCAGCTCCTCCTCTCCTCAACTCCCAACACTCCTTGTACCCCAAGCCATCTTGCATGTCATGCCATTTAGCTGAGCCTCGGGACAACACTGGGTACAGAGCCCCTTTCACTAGTAACCCCTTTTTTGCTCCCCCCAGTGCTGCATAGGGATAGCTTAAGGACCTCGGGTGTGCCCCCTGAATACCTCGATGGAACGGGCGATGTCCAGGGTCGCTTCCACGCCCTCTATATCCAGCTGCAGCACCCTCAGGTCCTTACAGCGTAGGGTGATTGTGCCGGAGTCACCCGCCACCCTAGGGGTGGACAGACCCAGGCTCAGTATACCTCCATCAGGGGAAGAGAACGAGTTTCATACAATTGGACGTTATGCAGGAGGGCGCCAGCTCCAAGTGCGCTGGCCCTTCCCCCTCTCCCCATAGCGTCGCGCGCTCCCCAACTTGTGGGACGTCCCAGCCACGTCTCACCGCTTCTCGATGGAGTCGACACTACGCAACAGCAGTAGCCACAGGTCTGCAGTCGATGGGGGCCCTGGAGACAGCAGCAGGTGGTGGCCGGTGACGCACAGCGTGCCGCGCAGCGGGGGCTCCTCCGGGCCGGGGAGTAGCTCGGCTTGGGCCCGGCCGGTGCGGATCAGCTCTGAGAACTCCATTCTACCAGCGGGGGCCCTGGGGCCCAGCGGGACAGGCTCTGGTAGCGTCGGGCGGGGCGAAAGCGGGCTCCAAAAGGGACAGGAACTGGCTGGGCAGCTGGCGACGCCGGCAGGACAGCTGTTAAGGAGGCCCCTCAAAGGAAGGGATCCTACAGTTCCACAGGCATTTTCTCCTACTGCCAATATCAGTGAGGACTCCGGCCAAAGTCTATTAAGGAAACCTCAAATTTCCTCATCTGGGAAATGGGGAGAATAATCTTGCCTGAAGCCCTTGTTTGGGTCTCAAGAGGCACTCGATATTTGGGGCTTTTTATTTTGGGGGTGCTGGCACCCCTGCTGCCTTTTGAAAGAAAGAAAAATAACCATCTCTTCCTCTGCACCGTGGTGGATGGGTTGGAAAGTGTGAAACTGGGAACTACCTACTTCCTCCCATACCTCTGAAGCTTGAGTGGGGGAAATCCCTTGGTCCACCTTAAATGCATGCAGCTGTGTAGCTGGCGCCCCTCCCGCTCCACAGCTGGAAGTCCCWGCCTGAGGGCGCCCTCGACAGGGGCCAATTCTAGCTGTTGCTGATCCTCTATTACTCACCGCTTTGCTTCATCCTTTCCCCAGGTGCCTACTGCCCAGACAATGAGCCAGGCCATGTGTTTGGTGCTGAGGGGCAGGGGTGACTGAGGAAGATTCTATTCATAGAATTTTCAGTCTGATTCATCATCTATCCATCCATCCACCTAAGTATTTTTTTTTATTTCTTATTGATGTCTGCACTATGCTGAATCTGATTAAGAATAATTCACTAGGTAACCCTTCTTTTAATGAAAAAAGTGAAATCATAGGTGGACTCCTATAATGAAACCATAAAATTGGAGCTGTTCTATCAAGAATCAGATAAAGAGTTCAAATTATAAAATTTCAGTCCAACAGCAGCAGTTATGGTGGGAATTTGATAGACACGCAAATTCTCAGGTCCCACTCCAGATATACTGAATCTGAAACTTTGTGAGTGAAGCTTTCCAGGTAATTCTAATGCATGCTCAAGTTTGAGAATCACTAGAATGTATACAAATAGGCAAAACTAATTTAAGCTGTCAGAAGTTAGGGTAGAGCTGGGACTGTAGCTAACTGGTAGAGCACTTGCCTAGTACACACAAAGCTCTGTGTTCAATCCCCAACACCAACCACCAAAAAAAAAAAGGAAAAAAGAGAAGAAGAAAAAATATGACAGGCCAGGAGTACTGTACTTSTAATATATAACACTCCCGAAGTTATTGATCTATCCCAGTAGAGGCTCACAGAGGGATAGGGACCTGCCCTGCAACCTGGTCTCCTGACTGCCAGGTGGGGCCTCTGGGCCCTATTCCTTGGCTGATGGGCTAGTGCTGTGAATGAGGATGGGGCAGCTTGTCAACCTCCTCCCCCTCTCAACTTCTGGTCTTGGGTCTTGGGAAGAGAGCCAAGACTGGTGTGAATGATGCTTTTCTTATCCTGGAGCAACTTCCTTTCTGGGAACTGGGAGTCTCCTTCTGGGCAAAGACAATAAATTTCATCTAAAGAACTAGAAAAGCAGGGTTCCTCCTACCCCCACCGGATGGGCATCACGTGGCTCCTGGTTAGGATTCCAGGAAAATTCCAGTCCTTGCACACTTAGCTTCATACACCCATATGCTCACCCAGCCTGGCACACTCAGACTCTCTATCCCACCTTGAACATTCACCGTCACCCACTCTCTGGCACACTCTTTTTACTCTCAGCTTCTACCACCTCTCCCCGAACCATATTGCAGGCCTTTCCCTCATCCCAGAGCAGCAGCCCTGCCTTGTCACTCACTGCAAACCCACCATGTCCCTGGGGCCACCGAAATTCCAGGCAGTGGATGAGGAGGATGAGGAAGAGGAGGAGGAGAGCCTGGACTCTGTGAAGGCACTGACAGCCAAGCTGCAGCTACAGACTCGGCGACCCTCATATCTGGAGTGGACCGCTAGGGTCCAGAGCCAGGCCTGGCACAGGGCCCAAGCCAAACCTGGGGCCGGTGGACCTGGAGCCATCTGCGGCTTTGACTCAATGGACTCTGCGCTTGAGTGGCTCCGGCAGGAGCTGGTGAGTCTGGTGGCTTAGATTGCCTTACATGGGGTCTTCAGGCCAATCCTCCTTAGGGCCCAAGACCATGGGTGTGGGGAGGGGATGAGAACAGATCCCCTAACTCCAGCAACTGCCAGCTCCTGTGTCTCTGGGGCTCAGGAGCCAGAAATATCCTTGTTTATTATTTTATGTGGAAAGTCTTGCTGAAGAAGGATTACATCAATCTACAGAGCTTATCTCCTGTGGGTCAGGGGAGAGAGCCCTGCCCTTGGGGGACCATCAGTTATAGGTAGAGAAAGACATGGCCTCCCCTACTTTGGGAACTGCTATGCCCTCAGAGAAATACAGTGAAGTATACAAAAGAAGGTACTGATCATGTTGTAGGCAGAATCTGAAGAGGAGAGTGTTGAATATTAGCTGTCAAGCCAATATGTGCACATATAAAGGTGCCCAGGCTCCAACTTGGAGATTTTTTTGGGGGGTGGGGGTGGGGGGGTTACCAAGGATTTCACTCAGGGACACTCGGTCACGGAGTCACATCCCCAGACCTTTTTTGTATTTTATTTAGAGACAGGGTCTCACTGAGTTGCTTAGTGCCTTGCTTTTGCTGAGGCTGCCTTAGCCTCCCAAACCGCTGGGATTACAGGCAYGTGCCACCATGCTGTGCTCTAACTTGGAGATTTTACTTAGTTTACCTGGGATGGGGTCCCAGGCATCTATATTTGCATAATAATGGCTCTTTAGCGCTGAGAAATCCTCCTGTGGAGCAAGATCTGAGAGATGGGGAAGGATGAAGCTAGGGTGAGTGRGAGCCAGGGACAAACCAGTGCAAAGAAAGGCCCAGAGTGTTGACAGGAAAGTAAGAAAGGCAGGTGACACTGGAGCAGGCCCCGCAGGCTCACGCCCCCTCTCGGCCGCAGCGGGAAATGCAGGCTCAGGACCGGCAGCTGGCTGGGCAGCTGTTGAGGCTGCGGGCCCAGCTGCACCGGCTGAAGGTGGACCAAGCTTGTCACCAGCACCAGGAACTGCTGGACGAGGCCGAGCTGGAGCTGGAGCTGGAGCCCTGGGCCGGCCTGGCCCTAGCCCCGTCGCTAAGGCACTTGGGCCTCACGCGTATGAACATCAGCACCCGGCGCTTCACCCTCTGCTGAGGGCGACCTGGGAAGACAGACGGAAGGGGTATCCCAGAGGGCCAGCACCTGGTGTGGTGGGGGCACATTCAGGTCTCTTAGACTCCACCCCAATCTCCTCAATAAAGCCCTCTGCCTCCCATCAAGGTCTCTGCAGTTTTTCATTTAGGCCCAAGGCCTCTGTCCGTCACTGGGACCAGGGGTTTCGAGGGAGAAGAGAAGATCTGGTTGTGGGTGGAGAGGACTATTACAGCCCCATCTCCCCACAGCTCATGATCAGAAGTGGTAAAAAACTTGAAATCCTACCCACAAGAGGTGATTTAGGTACAGTGGGTGACTGAAGAATGCCAAATCTAGGCTGGCGGTGTAGTTCTGTGGGACAGCACTTGTTTAGCTTGCACAGGGCCCTGGGTTTGGTCCCAGTACTGAAAAAGAATGCAGAATCTGATAAGCCTGGGTTTAAAGCCAGCTCCCCCATTTATTTGTTAGACATTTAAGAGGTCCCTAATTACTCCCTGAATCTGTCTTCTTCTAAAATAAAGATACTAATTCTCATTGGACAGGTAACTGACTATGGCTCAACTGAGGGAGTGCACAGTAAATACCCAGCCGATGTATTACTTAACATTACCATCACATGATTACTCTTGCACAGAGGCCCAGAGATGGACTATGAAGTGCTCAGGTTTACCTGGCAAGGGCAGCTGGACCTTGCACCAGGCCTGGGGCTCTGTTATCACCCTGGTTTTTTACTTTTGTGTTTCTCAGCCTTTGTTTCTGTTTTACCCTCTTTGACTTTCCAACTCAGGCTTCCTCCTCCCCCCACCCATTTCCTGTCCCCCTTCCCTCCACCGCTGAGGTGCACACAGACAGCATCAGCTTCCACCTCACAAACCCCAACAATGCTCTGTGGGCTCCCTTTCTCCCCACCCCCACTGCTTGCTCAGTGGAGCTCAGGAGGCCATGAACTTAYACTTTTCTCCTAGTGGGGTCCAGGCTCAGTTCTTGGGCCTGAGAGGGGCCACCAGAGCTCTTCATATATCACTCACTGATGACCTGGTCCTCAGTTTATGATGGGTGCCATTTCCAGCCTGGATGCAGGAAATTGAATTTGGCCTGTCTGCTGTTTGTGGCAAGTTTCTTGCCTCCTGCTGATAACAGAAAGTGCTGACAGTCTGACCAAAGCCCTTGTGTGCCTGGAGCAGTGCATTTTCTTGGCCTTCCACCAGTGCAGGAGATGGTGCCAGGCCGTCCTCTTCTACCAGGGGCTGTGGTCTCGCCTCTGCCTGCATTAGCAGTGCTGCCCCACCTATCAGCCATCATTAATGAGCATTATCCTGCCCTCTGTCTATAGCTGTCACCCTCTCCTCTTGAAGGTTGTCCATCCTGACTCCCAACGCAGGATGTTGTGAGTGTTCTGTCTGTAGAAGGGTTGTCCCGTCCTTAGTCTATCCTGTKATTCTAATGAAGTTATTGTCCAAGCCCTGCAATGACATGAGTACTGTTCTGTCCTAACTATAGCAACTGTTTCAGCCTCAAGTGTGACTGTAACACATGTGGTCTTCTAACTATTTAACAGTCATATTGTTCTATCCTCTGACTGCCAATGAGAACATTTTTTTTTTTTTTTTGGTATTGGGGATTGAACCCAAAGACACTTTAGCACTAAGCTACATCCCCCCAGTCCTTCTTTTTTTAGTTGTAGATGGACACATACCTTTACTTCATTCATCTATTTTTTATGTGGTGCTGAGGATCAAACCCAGCACCTCACACACGTGAGGCAAGTACTCTACCACTGAGCTACAACCCCAGCACCCCCAATCCTTTTTATTTTTTACTTTGAGACAAAAATCTCACCRAGTTGCCTAGGCTGGCCTTGAACTTTCAGTCCTCCTGCCTCAGTCTCATGAGTAGCTGGGATTATATTGTGTGTGCTACTGAACCTGACAAATGATGTTACCTTTGCTGTCAGACTGAAACAAGGGGGCCACTCAGCAATCACACTGTGATAATGGTGCCACTTGCCTTTCTCTGAGCAGGTGTGTGCTCGCCTGCACTCACTGGAGTCAAGGGCTGCCCATGAATCACTTGCCCTGATAGAGTCTGGAGGGCAGGAGGGAGGGTCTATCAAACATCCTCCCCTGCACTTTAAACTTCCAAATACTACCCTCAGAATGAGTAGGGTCCGGCCTGGAGATGTCTAGGACCCCTAGAGGCTGAGGGGCGGGGGGCTATTTTGACAGGAAGCTTGGGGTGCTACAGGCTTGTGGTTGGGCTGCTGGGGCCTGGTTGGCTGCAGAGCCCTCAGGAGGAGGCAGGAAGTCAGGGTGGAACGTGGGCGCAGGGAGACAGGTGGTGACTGCGACGGCAAGGGGAGCTGAGACTGTATCTGGGCAGCCGAGCAAGGCCAAGAGGACCATGTGAATGGGCCAGAGGGCTCCTGGGCCGGACAGGTAAGGAGTACTGGGAACAGGGGTCCAGGGACTGTGGTAGGAAGCCGAGCCCAGAGGGCTGAAGCTATGTGTAGGGCCACATCTGCAGCAACCCTTCAGGCTGAGAGAAACACATCACTGGAGGTCAGCTGGATCTCCCCTTTCCTGGGAAATTGATGGCTCTTGCCTCTGCCACCATCTGACGAGGAGATTATCGCTTCTTGGAGATCTGGCACATGGACATCAGGTATTAAAAAGGCCTTCAGAAATCACCACGTCCAGTTCCTCACCCCATGAGAATGAGGCATTTAAGACCCACCAGTAAAGCGGTGGCTGAGCTAAACCCTGGAGAGTAGTGGCCTAGGCTGGGACACCTTTTTGCTCCACAATGGAAAAGGGTCATAGGACAGTCTTGAGTCAGAAGACCCAGGAATCAATACTTCTGGTCCCTAAGCCAGACAAGAACCTCCTGAAAGAGACAAGAGAGTCACCCAGAGGATCCAGATGGAGGTGTGAGAAGTGACCTTAGCCTAAGTGTCCAGCATTGTCTGAGAGAGGGAGGAGACTACCAAGGGGAGCGAATGGGTTTGTGAGGGGATATTTGTCATCAGGGATGGAGTCCTTGGGCGGACACATCTGCTCTGACTCTGGGAAGTCTCAGAAAGAGAACGATGAGAGAGGAAAGAGGAAGGGCTATTTTTATCCCGGACAGGAGTACAGCTGGCCCTAGGCAAGGAACTTCTGAACTTCCATCTGGAAAGTTGCCTTTCCTGCCTTGCCAAATGTCACAGCAGGATGTCCTCCCCTCTGCCCTGACCCTCCTGCTCAGCCCCAGCTGCGTGTATAGGTCAGTTTGTCCTCCCCATTCCGGCTTCAAACCAGGGGTGGGGGAGCTCAGAACAGCACTGAAAGCTACCTCCGGTCTTCGGAGAGGCTAACTCTGAGCCTTCAGCTTCTGGGGGTAGTCCCCACCTCAGCCAGACTTTCCAGGTTTCCCCTGCCTCACTGGAGTTTTTCTTGTCACATATTTTCCACCTAGTCAGCATGTCCCAGCCTTTCTCCTATCTCCTGCCCCAAGGCCTGTCCCCTGTTGTGGGGACTGGAAACATGCTGAAGCTCTCCCTGAGTTCCAACAGGGCTCATCTACTCCTGGACAGGCATGAGCAGTCCCCTGCACTGAGCCCTGTGCTGGTGGATCCATCAGACAGTGTCCCTAGCTTTTGGGGCTCAGGGACAGTGACTCTTCTCAAAGGGAGAAAGGGCCAAGGACAGGGGCAGAGAATGAGCTGAGGGTTCAGAGGAGGGAGAAGACCTCCCTCAAGGGGATCTGGAAAGCTTCCTGAAGAGTCAAGGAAGTTTTAGAACAGAGGCCCATTTTGGAGAGTGAAGCCCAAGGTCATTCATTATTCCTGGGTTCTGTTCCTTGGGACCATAAAGACTAAGTCCTCAGAGTAAAGGTAAGAGAGCCTAGACGTGTGGTGTAGTGTGAAGAATGTGCATTTCAGGGTCAGAAAACCCAAGTAGAATTCCGGCTTTGCCATTTCCTTGAGTAGCTTCATAGCTCCAAACTTTAGTTTACTTATCTGTAAAGAGCAATAATAGATCTCTCCCTTTCAGGGTACTTGCAGGAGGTCAAAGAGAAAATAATGACTGTGATGTGCCCTGGGTAGTACCTGACACATMGTAGGTGCTTAGGGGAAGCCAGGCACTTCCTTCCCTGCAAATGATGCACTAAGGGTTGGAAGGGCTGTCCACACCCAGAATCACACCTACTCAGCGCTTGGCCTTGGCAAGGCAATGAACCGCCCATTCCCTCACACTTGTGGTGTGGCTTTGCAAACGAGCTGAGCTTGTTTCCTGTGTGTAGTGGAGTGTGAGAACGAAGGCACACTGGATTTTGAGATAGGCTATAGGGTTTGCCTTAGAAGAGGGCCCCTTATATAGTTTCTCTCTCTCTCTCTCTCTCTCTCTCTGTCTCTCTCTCTCTCTCTCTCTCTCTCTCTCTCTTCCTCCTCCTCCTCCTCCTCCTCCTTTCCCTCTCTGTAAAACACCACAATTAATATCATCCTAAGAAAACTTAAGTATGCAGGTCTGCTCAGAGGTACAGGCAGGGGCTACACATACACGACAGGCTGGATCTTACAAATCCATAAAATACCTACAACTAGTGCTTCAAGATCAGGCTCAATTTATGAAAGCATTTCTGAGGAGAGGGGAGGTAAGGGCAGGTGGGACCAAGATATCATCCAGGAATGTTTTGTTTTTCCCTTTTGTCCTTTTTCTGCTCTTGCATGCTAAATAATACAAGTTCTACAATGAGCTACACCCCCAGCTCTGGAATGTGTTTTTTTTTTTTTTTTTTTTTTTTTGTGGTACCAGGGAATTTTTTTTTTTTAAAGATTTTATTTATTTTTTAGTTTTCAGCAGACACAACATCTTTGTATGTGGTGCTGAGGATCGAACCCGGGCCGCACACACCCCAGGCGAGCGCGCTACCACTTGAGCCACATCCCCAGCCCATGGTACCAGGGAATTTAACCTAGGACCACTGAGCTACATCCCCAGCCCTTTTTATTTTTTGTTTTGAGACAGAGTC